CACACACACACACACACACACACACACACACACACACAAGAATTCACAACTCCAGGAAGCAAAACACATCAGGATAAAAAAAAAAAAACATGCCTAGACATGTAAAAATGAAACAGCAGAACATCAAAGGTAGTGATACGACCCCAAAAGCAACTAGAGAGAAAATACACACCACTGACAAAAAAAAAAAAAAAAAGTCACAATGACAGCAGAGTCTTCAATGATGACAATGCAAACCAGAACAAAGTACAATAAAATCTTCAGAAAGAGGGACAAGCAGCTGTCAGTCTAGGACTGTATACTCAGCAAGATTCCCTTCAGGAATAAGGATGAAATAAGCACATTTATCATGTAGATATGTAAAACATTTGGATATAAGATGTAAAGCCAAAATATGCAAAGAATTCTTAAACTTCAACAATTAGAAAACCCAATTAAGCAATTAAGATCTGACTTGATAATACAGATGACAAGCATATGTAAAGATGTACCATTTGTCACTAAGAAATTGCAAATTATGATAACACATCTATTAGAATGTATAAAACTCAAAAGTCTACCAAATGGCAGAAAAGATGCTGAAAAACAGTAACTCTCATTCATTGCTGGTAGGAATGCAAAAATGATTTGGAATAGCATTTGGCATTTAAAAAGAAAAAGTTAAACATAGTCTTATTATATGAGCCAGCAATAATGCATTTAGGTAAATGCTCAATTGATTTTAAAACTTATATTGACTATATGGACATTTACACATATTATTCTACTTTTATTCATAATTGCCCAAAACTAGAACCAATAGGGTCCTTCAGGAAGTGAATGGATAAAGAAACTTGTATACCCCAACAATAGGACATTTGTTATTCAGTGATTTTTTAAAAAATGATCTGTTAAGCCAGGTGTGGTGGCACAAGTCTGGAACCCCAGTGGCTAAGGAGGCTGAGGTAGGGGAAGGGCAAGTTCAAAGCCAGCCTGAGCAACTTAACAAAGCCATAAACAACTTAGCAAGACCCTGCCTCAAAATTTTAAAAAATTGTAAAAAGGCTGGGGATGTGGCTCAGTGGGAGCACCCTTGGGTACAAAAAAAAAATCTGTCAAGTCCTGAAGAGACATGGAGGAAACTTAAATGCAGGTTGCCGAGTGAAAGAAGCTTGTCTGCAAAGGATACATCATATCTCCATGATTCTAAATCAGACATTTCGGAAAAGACAAAACTATGAGAACTGTTAAAAAGGTCAGGGTGTGCCAGGGATTTCAGGGGGAAGAATGGTTAGATAGGTGAAACAAAGGGGAGTTTATTATGGTAATAAAACTATTTTCTTGTGATATTATAATAGTGGGTACACAACGCTGCAATTGTCAAAACCCATAGAACTTTGCAGCACTTAAGAATAAAAACACATGCAACACCTAGGAGTTTGGGAACTCCCAAGACAAAATACAGAATATGACCAAACAACCTAACTGTATTACAAACATAAGAAACTGCCTCTTAAATGGGTGAGTGGAAAGGTTTCGCCCCAAGTAACTCTAAATGAGAGCAGTCTCTAAAGGCAAAGGAAATTGGATGTGAGCACTGTGCTCTAGTGGATAACATTGTTCCACAGGGTTACAGGCGAGTAATTCTCATGCTGCTGTGCAGGTATACTGGAATCTACTGGAACAAAACAATAAGAAAATGGATGGCAGATAGTGGGAGTTACAGATAAACAGGGGGAGGAGACCAGAATGATCCACATGGCGAATGAACTAAGGTGAGTACCAACTCATGCCCAGCTTAGCTTACACAAGTGTTTGTAGATGTGACATGTAGATACACAGTCACTATATGGTCACATATTTCTTTGCTCTGACAGCTGAGAAAGTCTAAAGCAATGATACCCCAGCAGCAATGAACACATCTAGCATCCAGGTCTTGGTTTCTAAGAATATTCTTCAATTGAATTGTTCCTTGGAGAAAGAGCCAATTCTAGAACTGGGACAAGGAATAGTACAAAATGAGTCTGAAGCACCATATAGTGCAAAAAAGTTAATCATTGCTAAAAATGAAAAAATTTAAAAGCCCATTACCCACCAAGGGGAGTCAAGGGGCATAGGAAAAACTGAAATTGGAACTCCCCATGGTCAAACCTAGAATGTGTGAACAATAAATAAATAGTACTGGATTACAACTGAAGGTATGAAAAAAGTTCACAAGTTCGTACTAACATAAATACATGAATGAAGAGAAGTGGAAAAAACAAACATCCACCCAGGAGAAGTGCAAATGATGTACAAGAACACTCTGGCCTAATAAAGTGGAGCCTCATGCTCCATTCCTTAAGCAAGGTGGGCAGAGAGACTTCCTTCCCACGCACAGTATGGAAAGGAGGGAGAAGCCCAACAAACACCACCGCCGCCCAGTGATCAGCGTGAGCATCAGAGGGACAAGCCATGGGAATGGTAGGTCTCATTGATTGAATGTGATGACGATAGCACTTTGCCTCTGTGGGCCTCCTCCAGAAGGCCTGTGGAATCCACCTAAAACCTTCAGACATATCCCAGCTGAGAGACATCTGCCCAACACCTGACCAGCCCGCTTCAGAACTGCCAAGGTCATCAGAAAGAAGAGTCTGAGAAGCTGTCACAGCCGAGAGGAACTTAAGAAGATACGACACTGTGTGTAATGTGGTGTTCTGGATGGAATCCAGGGACAGGAAAAGGACACTGGGTATGAACAAGGACATCTAAATAAAGCACGGGCTTTAGTCAATGTGTCAACATTGGTTCATTATCTGTAACAAATGCACCATGTTGGTGTGAGTCGTTAATGAGTGAAACAGCTATGACAGGGACGGGGAGGGAGGGATTCAGAGGCCCGCGCGCACACACGTGGGGCCACACACAAATGACAGCAAAACTCTGTTCAGAAACATGTTTAAAGAACTCAAGGGGGTAAAGTAAACCTAAAATTCTTTACCCAGTAATATTATGCTTTTGAAATAAAAGTAAAAGAAAGTCTTTTTAGGTTAAAAAAAAAAAAACTGGAAGAACTCATCACAAGGACACCTGAACTATAAAAAAATGTCAAAGGAAGTGTCTCAGGCAAACAAGAAACAAATCTAGATCTGTACAAAAAAGAAAAACTGAGAATGCTTAAAATAAAAAAGGTAAATATAAAATATGTTGCCTGCCTAAAGCAAAAAAATTAAAATGTACTGTGAGGTTAATTGGATAGAGAAGATGCACGACAATAGCCCACAGGTGGGGGAGAAGCCGAGAGGAACGCGGCAATGTTCTTGCGCATAATGTAAAGATATTGGAGAAAGATTTCGATGAGTTAAAGATGCCTACTTTAAATCCTAGAGTAACCACTAAAGGAAAAGACTCATCATAGGTTGAAAGTCTATACCATGTAGGATCTGCCCTGGTGCAAGTTTGTAGCAAGTTCATGTTTCTCCTCCTTAGTTGTTTATTTAGACTATCTTCCCTCTAGTTAGTCAGAAATTTTCCTAAAGAGCCTGACTGTGTCCATTCATGTCACCAAAAGCACTGAATAAATACACACGCAGGTTACCACCCAGTTATTTAACTCTTATGTTTACTAACTACAACTTTAATTTAAAACTGCCTAACCATAACGTTAAAATTACTTTAATTACTTTAAACCAYTTCAAATATACACAATAAATAAGTGTACCTTTGCTATATTTTCTGCAAACCCAACAGTCTTTGGYCTAAAGCAAAAAAAAATTCCAACTTGGTCTAAAGTGAGGAAGCAATAAAAATAAAAATTATTCAAGCTCACACATGATAATAAATCTGCCTGTTCCTTCCCATTTTCTATACTAGCATAACTTGCATTATATATGGAGGCTTGCAGGCAAGGGATATCGTCAGTAAATCATATTTCCTGAACAATCTTTAGAAAAGCAAAGAATCAAAGGCTTTCTTAAAGTGCTCAGAAAATATCACTTTGAATCCCACTTCAAATACATTCAATCCTCCTGCTGGCTGTTGCCCCTCTACCCTACAGAAGTGCTGGCTCAAGACTCAAGAGCTGATATTTTATGTGCACTGTTTTTCTTGCTACGTAGAACAAATGCTTTCTAGTCCAACTGTGAGACAGCAACATTTTTTTTTAATCTGAATCTCCATTTTCCTCTAACTTTTAAATTATGAACAAGCCGATGCAAAATGGCAGAAGTTCCCTTTGTGCAACTGTGCAAGGGGGAAGAGTCAAGGAAACAAAGGAGAAATTATATTCCTGGGAGAGAAAGAGAGGAAAAACTTTGAGGACCAACAGAGAAGTGATGAGGAATCCGAGCAGTGTGGAAAGCCAGAGGTGAGGGAGAGAACGAAAAGCAAGTCCCAGCAGCTCCATCTCAGGCGAGGGGAGGGGAACACAAGCCTCAGGGAGCCAAAGGGTATGTTTAGCCCTGGTAATGGCTGAGGCTGGCAGTCCTAATTGCAGGAGGATCCACAGTTTATGCACGCTTCAAATCCAGCTTGGGGATTTGGTCTGAGAGTACCTCCTCCTGCACAGCACACTAACTTCAGAAAAGAAAAAAATCAACGCATTGCTCAGCAAACTCTCAGACTACCAGAAGCCATCTTGAGAAGGATCCTATTGTTAGTGAACAGACTCTTCTGGGGAGCAGAAAACTCAGCAAAGTGTCCCTGTGGACACTTCATCATAGTGACGGGGCAGGAGAGAGATACGCAGGACACTTGTTCCTGGGGAAGAGCCAGAAACAACCCACCAAGTCGTTCCAGCAGCACCGAGGGTGTTCTTGGAGGAAAAGTGGAGGACACAGTGGTCAGTGGTCCTATCCTCTGTGACGAGCAGCGAGACGAGTTGCAAGGAAGGTGGCTGGGAGCCAGGTCTGAGAACGCTGGGACTGAAGGTGGGAAATGCTTGGACCCTGCCTCTCTCTCTAGCACCAAGTGACTAGTTCCACTATGCCCCCCTCACACACTGAGGCATCCTGGGTACACAGCACAGCTTGGATATCTGTCATGCCCCTGGGTTCAAGGCTGAAGTCTACAGGGCTGAACACCGATCCAACTGGTGCAACCCCCATGACACCAAAGCTAGGCTGGTGAGAATCGCTGGCTGTGACCCAGACATCGGCCATGCCCTCAAGCAGGCCAACTAAGGGCCTCTGGAACAAGTGTGCACACACGTGGAAAGAAGCATCCGCAATCCAAACAACCAGGAGGAAATTTTGACTCTTTCTTTTTCCTCCATCTATTCTATCTTCTACTTTTGATATTATTAACATAATWAAAATAAGCATAAGAAAAAATTAATAGATTTCTCTCTTCTACTCTCATTTTTCTTCTCATTCTATTAATTTTAATATTTTAGTTCATTCTATAATATTTTGCCTTTCTTTACTATAGTTATTGGCATTATAGTTTTTAACAATTGTTAGTATATTTCTACACCTGGTTTGTTTATATGTTGTAGATATTACTGTTGTTTGCCTTTTCCCCTCTAAGTGGAGCAAGTGATGAAACCTTAAATCTCAAGAGGTTGGGTGGGTGCTCTACCACTGAGTTGCACCCCTAGCACAGTTGAGAGAAATTGCATTTTATTTCTGACTTCGTTACATTTGAACCTGAGTGAAACTTCAATTTTAAGAATAGGGGAGATACAAAGCTTCCCAGCCAATGATCTCAACTAGGCACGTCCGGGATAGGCCCCAAATCCTGCTCCTAGGCACTTACCCCCAAGGCAAAACTGTTGTGAACGTTCTGCCTATGAAGGACTTGAGCGTAGGTTACTCTCATACMCTTACAGACAGTTCATTGTAGACAAGACCGGAGGAATAATTACACAGGATGTACCTCATATGTCCCTTCTGCCTACAGCACACCTACCTCAACTACCAGAGGTACCCCCCTCTTTCAAGACCTACACAGGAAGCATCCCTCAGGCTTTGACATAGTACAATTACACCCAAAGAAGCCACAGTGAAACAACAAAACTAAGTCCATTTGGAATTAAACTCATCACTACACAAAATAAACAGTAGCCCAGGGCACAWCCTCAAGAGAAAACTATTCCCTAAGAAAGTTTCTCAAATAAAAGTGAAAAGATATATTCATCCAACATATGGCCAAACAAAACAACATGACCCCCTCCAAAAGTTCATAATGCCTAGTAACTGATTCCAAAGATACTGAATTAGGTGAAATAGAAGAGTTCAAAAGCATAATGTTAAAAGTGATTGGTAGGGCTGGGGTTGTGGCTCAGTGGTAGGGTGCTTGCCTCGMATATGTAAGGCACTGGGTTTGATCCTCAACACCAAATAAATAAATTACATCAAGGTATGTGTCCATCTATAACTAAAAAAATTTTTAAGTGATTGGTAAATTCAAATAGAATATAAATAAGAAGCTGAATGAATTAAGGAATGCTCTTTCACATCCTGTATTAAGAGATACAGATTTTAGAAAAAGAACCAAACAGAAATCTTAAAAGTGAAAATCCCAATAAATCAAATTTTAAAATTTGGCTGAAAGCCTCACCAATAAAATAGTTCAAATGAAAGAAAGAACATCAGGACTTGAAGGTAAAGTTGATAAATTATCACATTTAGACAGTAATAAAGAAAAAAATGAGAACAAAATAAACAAGACCTATGGGACATGATTAAGAGACCAAACATGCAGATGATAAGTATTGACAAAGAAGCAGAAGTACAATTAAAGGCATAGAAACCTGTTCAGTGAAATAGTATCAGAAAAGTTCCCAAATCTTGGGGAAAACTAAATGCCAAAAGTACAGAAGAAAGAATATTGAGAGCTTCAAGAGAGAAGTACCAAGTTACTTACAAAGCTAAATCTATCAGAATCATACATTTCTCAAAAGAAACTCTACAGGCCAGCAGGCATGGAATGCTGCATTTAAAACCCTGAAAGAAAATAACTGCCAACCTAGATTGCTATGTCTAACAAAGCTATCCTTCAGAATCAAAGAAAGAATAAAGACCTTCAAGATAAACTAAAGGAATTCATGACCACTAACCTAGCATTATAGAAGCTACTTAAAGGAAGTCTACACACAGAAGAGAAAGCAAGATAAACACAATCACCAGAATATGGTAAGGAATAGATTTCACTAGACAAGTAGATAAAATAGAATTAAGATCAAATATTGTTAATTCAGTAAACAATTAAATCTCTAAGATGAATAAGGAAGAAAGAAATGAACATAGGTTTGAAACAACCTTTTAGTAATACTTCTGAATGTAATGGACTCAATTCTCCAATTAAAGGGTTCCGACTGGTTAATTGTATTAGAAAATAAGACCCAACAATCTGCTGATTGCAAGAAACTCACCTCATTGGCAAAGACATATATGGATAGAAAGTGAAAAGTTGGAAAGTAAATGAATCTCAAAGCAAGTAGGAGTAGCTATAATCATATCCAATAAATTAGACTCAGACACAATAGGTCAGAAGAAACAAATAAGGTCTCTGCATATTTATAAAGGGAACAATCCATAAAGACAACAAAATGATGCTAAATATATTTGTACTTAAGGTAAGAACACTCAATGTCATAAAACACACACTACAGGACTTAAAGGAAGAAATGGACTACAATATGATAATAGTGAGTGACTTCAATACTTACTCTCATCAATAGATAGATCTTCCAGAAAAAAAATCAGAGTTAAATTACACTATAAATCAGATACATTTAAGGAAAATTTACAGATTATTACATCCAACAGCTGTAGAACACACATTCTCATCAGCACACAAAACCTTTCCAAGGACTGGGTTTGTACTCATCGGTAGAGCGCTTGCCTAGCCTGTGTGAGGCACTAGGTTAAATTCTCAGCATCACAAATAAATAAATTATAAATAAAGGTCCTTCAACAACTACAAAAATCTATCTTAAAAATCTTATCCAAAACTTATCACATTTTAGGCCATAAGGCAAATCTTTTTTTTTTTTTATTTTTTAAAGAGAGAGTGAGAGAGGAGAGACAGAGAGARAGAAATTTTAATATTTATTTTTTAGTTCTCGGCGGACACAACATCTTTGTTGGTATGTGGTGCTGAGGATCGAACCCGGGCCGCACGCATGCCAGGCGAGCGCGCCACCGCTTGAGCCACATCTCCAGCCCGGCAAATCTTAATAAATCCAAGAAAACTGAAGTAATTCCTTGCATCACATCAGATTATACTGGAATAAAATTAGAAATCAGCAGCAAGAGAAACTGCAGGAAATAGGCAAATGCAGACTGAACAACACAGTTCTGAATGAGCAGTGGGTCACTAAAGAAA